TAAACTAACTAATATTAGGTTCAATTAGAAGAACAGCAAGAATAGACTCAAATGAAATTCTCCTACAAAAAAGATATGCAACATTGATGTAGCGCATTACATTACATTAACATAACATGGCGATTGCATCATATAGCACTCGGATATATTCATTCCAACAAACTGCGCCAAAAAAACCATTAAGAAGCATTTTTGCGCTATCAGTGAAATGTGTTAAAAAAGTTTTTAGCATGGAAATTTTCGAAAATTAAACTTTATTTTTGGGCTTATTTGTTAAATTCATAATATCGTATAATAATCATCCATTATAAATAATAATTTTTCTTTATTTTGCTAATTTAATCAACCGGAATATTGTTCCAACTTTTCCTTAGATCTGAAATAGTTAATTAAGCTGAATTATATGAAAGCATAATTTACAACTGATAATGATAATTTATGTGTATAGGAAAAAATGATACTAAGAAATCATGAAATATTAATGAATAATTAATAATAACAATTACAAATCTTTTACATATTCATTATCGATTCATCTTATAATCCAGAATGCGGAATTTTTATAACCATAATGATAATAATTCATCCCATCCAATAAAAGATAAAATGAAATAATAAAAATGAGGAATGGTGTGTATCATCAACTATCCAGAGTGGTGTGCAAAATCGATCAGTTTGTTTGTGAGACATTTGAAATAGAAGCTAAGCTATCCGTCTAATTTCAACGGCACCTTTTAGTCGCATTTTTTTTCTCAAATTTTTTATTAGCCAAGTTTGAATCGTTTGATTTGTTGATTTATTGATTAATTCAATTCTGGAAATAAAACTTTTTTCCCAATCAATAATAGGAAATCGATGAAACTACTAAATGTATTCGATTAAAAATTTTCTAATTTATCTTCACTGGTTTTTTATTATCAATTCAAATTTTAATTAATTAAAAGATAAGGAATACGCATATTCGATGCTTCAAGTATTAACGAATAATTAATTGTTAAAGTAATGAAATGAAAGCAACAATGTCATAATGAAATAATCGTAAATGGCAATGAAATGGAAATGATCAATTTGATGATATTATTTTGAAAACGAAAAATTTCATTTCAAATGACTGCTCCAATAATAACATTATTATTCATTGGATTAAGTTTTAGTATAGTAATTCGATTCCTGTATGTTTCCTCTATAATTTTTAATTTTTATTTGAATTTAAAATAATTCATCACAACAAAACATATTTGATATATTAGCAAAGTAAACAGTTAGTTGTATATTATTTGAAATTCAAGTAATTTAATTTTGATTTTTTTTAATTGAATTACTTTATAATTGATGCATATGACTAATTTGTTAATTAAGTTTGTTGTTGGATATTAACAAACGTGTTTATAATCATACACCTGGATCATGTCGATTTGTTCGTTCATCCACCGGGATAATTGGTATTTATTAATTTCTATTTATTCTACTCTTCCATTCATTTCTTTTTTGAATTTCATATTTACATTTTTTTTTTAGGAAAAGTTGGAAAAAACTGAAGCTTACCTAAGTTTTATAACATTGAATAATTTAGCGAATGGTTCTGCTGGAATGGTACTCATTCCGGAATTGGATATTGCACTAATAACAAGCGGATATGCAAGAAGTCGAGGAATTAGCAACATTACCGGTGCAGTATTCCTGTATAATTTTATGGATAACAAAAATTATGAAGCAAAGAAATTGAAAATTAAAGGATTTGATTTGGTATGTTATAAATTAATTTTTAATCAGTAAAAATAGCAATTAACTGTCATAGAAGTTATCAAAGTATAAGAAAAAGATTGAGAAGGTAAGGCTGTGTAATTACCCTCAATTCTATTTTTTAATTGTGAAATCCAGACCGGCTGGAAGAATTAATTAAGAATCGCAGGAATTAAAAGAGGAAATAGATTTATTTATCTTTTCTCAAAAACCTATTCAAATGATGAAATCGTTATAAAGCAAGTCTAAAATCTTCATCATAATACAAATTTAGTTCTTAACTAATTAGAATTAAAAAAATAATTTATTAGAAGAAATTTTGAAAGTTTTAAAAAAACTGATAACATTTTTGTTTTATTTATTAGAAGACTCAAAAATCGGTTTGTTGATAAAATCAAATTTGAAATACTAACAAAAAAATTTGTTCATTTTTACAGCAATATTTCATTCCGTATGGAATTGATATATATATAAGTCGAAATCGAGTAACTGTTTACATCACTAATTCTTATCGGGATAATGATACGGTTGAAGTTTTCCAACTTGATCACAACCATTTGCTTCTTATTCATCGTAAAACCATCAATAACGACAAATTTCGGAAGTAAGCTATATTTAAAAAAATATTTCGCCAAAATTCTGTCTTGTCAAATTTTCTCCCAAAATTTCTTATCCATGAAATTTTACTTCTATTTATGTGCCGAAAGTTTCAACATTTCATGAATTATATCTTCTTGCTAATTATATATCTTTTCCTAATTATATTTGTTCTCTTCAATTTCCAATATATATATATATATTCAATTCCATTTTCAATTTCTTTTTTGTAAGAATTCCATTGAAAAAAGAAATGAATTTAGCAATAAATCATTATGAAACTAATTAGCAAAAACGTTAAGAGTTCATTTCTCTTCATAATTTTAATTTCATCCAATCTTTTTTTTTTACGAATCCTTTAATATCTTTGTGATCCATTTTAATTTCCCTATAAATAACAATTATATTTCAAATTTAGCTTAGCAGATATAACCGTCGTTGGCGCTGATCGATTTATTGTTACCAATTATGCTTATTGCCGAAAAGGTTGGATGCAAATTGTAGAATTTGCCATTCAATCATCACTTGGTTCCATTGTTTATTACGATGGTCGGCAGGGAAATTACCTCGAAAAGTTACCTTCCATTTTTCATTTCCAAAAAAAAATTTTACAAATATTTGATTTTAGCATTTATTCAACGAATTAAATCACATTTATTTTATTTTTCTATATTAACATAAAATATGATAAATTAACATTTTCAAGTTATTAATTTCTATCAAATTACTTTTTTATCGATTACAAAATTTATATTTATGTTATAAAATATATTCCTATTAGATATTTTTATTAGATATTTTCCGACACCAAATGGAATTGCTATAAATAAGCAACAAAATCGATTGTATGTTGCCAGTACGATTAATGAAGTAAGTTGATAAATTTTTCTGATATGATAAGGAGATAATAAGAATTGAAATTATCACAAATTATTTATTTCATGCATAAAAGGAATTAAAAAGATAAGAGTGGCATATGATAAGAATGTCAAGTAATGAATTAATCAGCGAAAATAAATTAATTTTAATCGTTTTAAAAATCAATTTTCAACTTTGAAATTATAATAATAAATTATAATTTAATTGATAAATTTTTTTATTGACTATTTTCCAATTTAGTTCATACGAATATATCATTTGGGAAAAGATATGTCAGTGATTTTTGCAACCGAAATTTCACTTCTTTCATCACCGAATAAGTTGTTCATTGAAACCGGTACTGGGAACATTTGGGTAGCACTCCATCCAGTATTATATAAAGCTCATAAACATATACAAGATCCGGTAAATATAGATCAGCGACCACCATCTCAAATACTTCGCATACGCTTACAGGTCTAAATTATTTCATTTCCTTTCAGCATCTACAAATAGATTACAAATAGAATAAATTCATTTGTGTTCATCGATGATTAGTTATATTGTAGTAATTAATTGTTCCAAGCTAAGCTTATATCAGAGATTTTCAGGAAAATGATAACAGTTGGGTGATAACAGAACCGTATGCAAATGATGGAGCAACAATATGGGGCTCTTCCGCAGTTCTATTTCACAAAAATTCTTTACTTATTGGTAGTTTATTTGGCCGTATATTACACTGTGATATTGCGATTTCTCAAATTATATAACAGCAAGATCGATGTGAGATTGATTGGAACTAATGACCGGATATAGTGTAGGATCACCTAGTCTCGATGCAAAGTCACCGTCATACTAATACAGTCTCAATGTAGTCAAAAATCAAATTCAAACACCAGTGGATTTAAAAAACATCTCTAAAACTCTCAAACCCGAAATTATCAGATTTGAGAATTTTAAGCAAATTTTAAACAAATTCCGATTCAAAGATAACCCGAAAGCATATTGCGTTAACTGAAAATTTTACTGGTCAAATGATATTAATTCGTCCTCCCTTTTGTTTTTCCTTCTATCCTTTTCCTTTTTTTCAATATTTTCTGTTTGTCAAAGAACAAATATGGTATTTTCATTTTCTTAAGAACAAAAACTTTTGCCATAAAAATATACTAGTTAAAAATGAAATTTCAACAAACAAAAAAAGAGACCTGATGTCTAATAATGAGAAAAATAACACAGAAGTAAGAACAATTGCGACGGCACAGTATGATATATCCAATCAATTCTCAAATTATGTCGAATTTTAAAGCTATATTCACAAAGCATTGTTGTAAACTTCTTTATCATCTAAATTTATGATTGATAAGAATCTAAATATTGCCGAGCACTTTTTCTCCATATTCTTCTTGTTCAATCGAGTAAATCTTCTAAAATAGTTGTAAAATATCCAGTAATATTTATTTAATTTTGATATTTCGAATCACTTTTAACTACTTGGTTCTTTCCACAACTGCGTCAATTTCTTATCTGTTTGCTTAGCATCGGATGCTAAAGACAGAGTAATGTGATATCAATTGATTATGACAATAATTAACACAGAAAACATATGACATTTTTGTTCGGAAATACAACGGTAAGATGGAGAGAAGAAGGAAAAGAGTGCTACCAATTATTGGCGTATGTTTACAAACAATCATTTTCAAAAATCAATGAGATGAGATTTAAATTTAAATGTTGAGAGATTTTTTAAAGTTTTCGAGAATGGATTATTTAGCACAATATCGTACTTTTATTCTATAAGTTAATCAGGTTGAGCAGGTGGATGAAAAGCCACCGACACTTGTTTGTCGGCATAAGGTTGGACTTGTTTGCGACGAGTGCGACGCTTGTTGCAAATTACTGCTAGGTAAACTGAGTAAACTGTTAGTGCTGGACAGTGAATTCTGCAACGAAGTCGTTGTTGCCGACAGCGATATCGCGAGTTTACCATGTGCTGTAAATGCACTTTGTCGTAAGTTTGACCCGATTAAATTTGGTGCAGTTGCTGCAACTGGCAACTTTTGTAACAGTGGAAGTCCTCCAACGTTATTGGGTAGACGGTCTGAAATGAAACTTACATGATAAATCATCAAGCAACACGAGCATAAGAAATTTCAATATATATTTTCAAAACAGTTTTTTAAGTTGCAAATTCAATCCAAATTGCAACTTACCATCGGCAATCGCAGTCACTGCGATCGCAGTAGCTGAAGCAACAGCATTCGCAGCACACATCATCAGCGGATTTCTTGTTAATTGATGCGAGGAAACCGGTGATAAACTACTGGAAGAGAAACATGGCGGACCTAGGCCTACAGTATCGCTAATTATCGCATCTGATTGGTTCAGCTGGTTATTTGAATGGTTCAATGACAATTGGCTTATTGCTAAAGGATTAAATTCAGGCGATCCTGGTGGACGAATATGCGTTCGCATATGACGTGTTATCATATCGCGCCGGCTCTAAAAAAAAGTGCCATAGTCGATTATTCATTTTTAAAATTTATTTAATCTCTAAGCCAAATAACTTTTTTCTAAGTTTTCTTAGATTTGATATTTTATTAAGTAAATTAATAAATTGATCGAAAAAATAACTGCAATCATTACGCATAAATCGAATGTACTTACGGCAGAATAGATGCATTGAGGACACTGATACGGTTTTTCTCCGGTATGGGTTCGTTGATGTGTACTCAAATGGTCACTCCTTGAAAATACTTGACCGCAGACTTGACATCCATAAGGTTTAATGCCAGTGTGCAATCGCATGTGTCTAAAAGATATAAATGTTCATATAATGAAATTCGTTAACTATTCATGTAATGTCCATGCTAAGTGTTCATGTAAAGTTCATATTGAATGTCCATCTAAAGTTCACATTAAGTGTCCGTGTAATCCATGGGATAAGCGTAATGGTGCCATTCTTCCGCATTTTGCATGTTTTGTATTCAAAAGGTCATATACCTGGTTAACATATCGCTCCTACCAAATGATTTGTTACACACCATACATTTATGGGCTTTCGATGAGCCATCTTTTCCAGCAACCGAAGCTGATCGATCACGGTGACGTGAAGCGATATGTTTCGCAAGCCTATCATGCAGTCCAAATGCCTTAAAAGTGTTTGCTGACATATGCAAAAGTTTAGTTTCTTCTAAAGATAGTAAACCCACTGATCAGTTTGTCGAACTGGAGTTATTTCTTCCTTCGTACTATATATAATCTCGACAGAAAATGAAAGCACGGTTGAAAGAAATAAAGCTTTCCTTTGTAAATTAATAAATTTCTTTCGTTCTGGTAGATTCACAATGATCTAACAAATGATTGAAGCGCAATGCTAAATAATAAAAACATACTTGTCCGCAATGCTGACATATGTAATTTCCAAAAGTGACATCTGATTCTGAACGACTTCTTCGCCAAAATGTTCCATTCTGAAATTAACACTTCCTTTTAGTATTGTCAATTTTTTATATTGACAAAAAAAGACCAAGCAGTTACCGTTGCATAATATGTTCAATGTCTCAGACATTTATGGACCTTCGATGTCAGCCTATCATATATCATTTGCTTGCTGTTATTATCAAATATATTATCTTTATGACAACTTAGTGATTGTTTTTCTTTTCATATTTTTTAAAGGAAAAATAACTAACTCTAATTGGTCCAAAATTGCTTTCCATTTCAGGCGAATTTGTGCTTCGTGCCATTCCACGAGGCATATGATCTTTAGGTTGTGCAAACAGGCACGCCCCCGCCATCTAAAATCAATTAAAATTATCATTACCATTTAGACACTATCAATAGATCATGAAATCCTGAACTTTATGGTAACGGATAGAGAATGGATTTTCATTTTGCAAATGCTTCAATTACCGATATAATATGAAAAATCATTTATTATAAATTAGATCATAGAATGATGACAAAAATAAAATCATTTATTATAAATTAGACAATAAGATGATAATTGTTAGTAAGCAATTATTAAGCAGGAAGGAAAATTGAAAGTAAAGCTAAAAGTAACTAACGGAAGAATTAGCTTACACCAATTGCTACAGGACTACGAAGTGATGATAATGTACTTGAATTGTGATACCAATGATTACGCCAAGTGAGAAGTTGCTGTTCCATCCAAATATTAAATTGCTGTTGACTTCCAAATGGTTCATTAGCTGGTAACAACGGCTGTAATATCCATTAACAAAGTTCACCTTTAATTTCTCTTAGTAGAATAATTTACTTATCTTTTATCGACTCACTATTAAACTTCTGAACTGCTTCAACATCATGTTGAATTTTTGATGTGATATTAAACAAAACTATTACGTCAAACTCTTAAAACATAAAATGAAACAAACTCACATAATTAAAATACAATTATTACACATAATCAAATATACAACACGAAAAGATGATGTTTAGATGAACAGTCGAAATTATAAATGGCAAATATTCATTCATGCTTTTGAGTTTTGATTTTTTTTTTTAAAGAATCCTTTGATATTTCATTAGCTTTTATGATGAAAGATTGATGCAACATGTTAGTGTTACTTCAGAACGAACGAACACATAACGGATGCAATTTACTTGTTTTGGTTGAGATTCAACGGTTGATTTCGATAAGCCATTATCATTTGTCTCCTCTTTACTTAACAACAATGTAGCATTCTTTTTTTCTGACTCTTCTAATTCCTAAATTTTGTCAAACTATTTGATATTTCATTTGACTATAAATGAATTAGAGATATTGATTTTTTTTATCAGGAAAATAATCATTACAAGAAATCTCTATTCCCTTAAAAAAAATTGATATTTCACTATTTTATTTCTGTGAATTCAAGAAATTTCAGATTTTTTAAATAGAGAAAAAAAGATTTGCAAAGTCAGCAAGTTAAAAATAACAGCAGCACACAATAAATTTCTGGATAGCACAACTAAAAAAATACTTTCTTCCCTTCCTTATCTTCTCGTCTTCCTCCGAGAAAAGCAAACTTTGCTAACAAACCTCTATGAGACTATCTGTTGTCTTTGAATCAGTTGGACAAAGAGTATTGGTGAAAGGAATATATTGATTTGGTTGGCATTTCTGAATCTTTTTATCTTCTTGCTCCTTTTCATACTTTTGTAGCAATCGTTTTTTGTATTGACCTGATGTGGATGATAAACGGCGTGATGTTGTTGGAATCTAAAAATTTTCAAATTTCATCTTTTAAAAGTTTTAATATTTCTAGTGATAAAATTGTGAAATGGTGAAAAAAAGATATGAATTATTCGAGTTGAAAAGTTGAATTACTGGGTTAACTTTAAGATTATTTCTTATGTTTTTCCAGTGGAGTAACTCTAAAGGTTTATGAATAAAAGAACTTTTAATATCAGTAACCGTTACCGATACGGTAGACTGTCCAACGGATGTGTCCATTTTTTCATTGTTTCCGTTCGATGTCACTTCACCATCTGAACGACTCCTTTCCCTGAAATGTTATGTTCAATGATTTTTTAATCCTTCAATGGCGTAAATTCAGTTTCATGTTAAAAATTAAATGCAATTTTCATTTGTATATTCAATCTCACACACGTAACAATTATGTTTTACTTGATGGTTCCATCTTCACAGCAAAACGTTATCATTTCTTATTGAAATGGGAAGAAAGAATGAAAAACGAACCTAGACTGTAAATCTAGGTTTGAGTCAGGTACCAGAAAATGACGGTTAACATCAACACGACCTGAGAGTGAACTGGAACTTCGAATTGTATCAAAGCTAAAAATTTACTGTTTACAGAAATTTTGCTAACAAATTGATTAATTAATTATTGTAGTAAAAGTAAAAAGTGAGGGAATGGAAGAAAAGAAATATTTTATTTTTTAGTGTGCAGTAACGGGAATTGAAATCAAAAATCTTATGAACGAATTACTTGAAGTGCAAAGATTGCATTGAAAGTAGTGGTGAAACAGCGGGCGATGCACCTGTGCCACACATAGATAGCGGGGTTTCCGGTGGTTCCGTACAATCACTAAATGGACTGAACGGTGCTGGAGAATACATGCAAGGTGACAGAAGATCCTTGGAGCAAATATCCGAATCTCCATCACCTTCAATGCTGAAATTTCTTTTTTATGATAAATTTTCAGATTCAGATTTTGTTCAAAAATTTCCATGGCTAAATATTTCTTCTTCCTCACTATTTAATTAAAAAATTCAAAGCTCAATCTCACTGTCATCATCTTTCGGAGTGTACACAACAGTGTACACAACTATTATATATTAAATTCAATTTTAATATATATCAGGCAACGTAAATTATCACGCAAGTGAAGGAGATGCATGGGTTATTATAATAACACGTCTGATATTATTTGATGCATTTTGTCTCGCAATGTATGTATTTCATTCATAATATGTATTTCATTCATAATATGGAAACTTACACCTGTAAATGTGACATACAATGTATTGTAAATATAAGCGAGAGGTCAAAAGTTATAGCGTAGTGAATGAGTATAGAAAAGTATAGACATTCGTAAATGAATGTCTATACTTTTCTCGAATGTCTATATGTAATTATTTATCCGACATAATTTCCTATGCCTACTTTTTAATGCCTTTATTATAAAACAAGAAATATAATGCAGGAAAGAAAGAAATTAAAGAACCTTGATTTTTTGCTGTCCCTGAAATTAGCCCAACATGGACTTAAATTGCTCAGTGCTAAACTCATCGGACTTCGAGGACTGGATCCCAAATCGCTTGTAGCATATGGACTAAGTGGTGATAATTTATTCAGGTTCATGGCTGCCAGATAATTCGTCGTCAACTGCAAAGATTTTTATGCTTCAATAATTTATCAATTTGAAATTATCAGTGCATTGATACAAAATTCTGTTAATGTTTGATGGAATATAACGATTAGGCTTTTTATATCTTCATCCTTTTCCCAGGACTTCTGCCAATTTTTCTTTGACTTTGAATGATAAGCTGATGATAAGGATGAATGAAGGGTATATATATAAAAAGCTCTTTTCAATATTTCAAATGAAATTTTCCATCAAAACTTTACAGCAAAGATAAACGCTTCAAATTAAGAAAATTAGTAATCTCACCAGACTGATTCGTTCCATGGCATCTGCATTTAGTGGACGTGGACGCCGTATGCGTGAACCTCCTGGACTTGTAGGTGATGATGGTGCACTTGGACCTTGTTCACAGATTACTGGTGCAAACTGTAACATAGCATTCTTGGCTTTAGATTCCTTTTTCTTCATTTAAATTTCTTCAGCACATGATTAAGATTAATTATTAGTTATATTGAAATGATACCTCAAAATAAATTAGAATGAAACAGCTGCAGTTGAAATTATTATAGAATCATATTTAGATAAGTCATTTAGAATCATTTAGAAATTATTATAGAATCATATTTAGATAGAATCATTCAGAAATTATTATAGAATCATATTTAGATAGTGACTCAATATAGTCATCTCTAGGCTTACTATTATAGTTCATGATAGAAGTGACTTACTGTAAGCTGTAGAGAAATGAAAGTGAACTGAAATGTCAAAAAGAAGTTATATAATATGAGACCGTGAAGTCACATTCTCTTACGACGATTACATATGGCAATAAAAAAATGGTAGAGACAAGATGAATGTGAAGAAATATGTGAAGTATGTATAGCCTGAAGATTCAGAAGGAAACATCGTACTAAGAAAGTAAGGGTTTGGATGAAATTTGGAAACTTCACTTACTTCGACGCTTTTGAATATTCCGTGATGCAATGAAATTCACAAAATTTTATATAAATTATAAAAGTTTTTCAATTATTCCCAAAAATTTCTGAACTAAATAATTATATTTAAACTGGTGGGAGGAAGTTATCAATTTCAACTAAAGGTCATCGCTGATGATTAATGAAATATGACCAACTGTGACTTTTAATTGCTTAAACATCAATTAATTTCGAGCATTACTTCAGAGAGGAAGAAAAAAGTATAGTGATGAAAGGGACAAGTGATTTATGAATGTGGCTGAATTAAGTGAAGAAAAGAATTATGAATGACAAAGAGGTCATATAAAATGCTTCAAAATGAAGTGCTCTCGCTTTTTTTTCAATTTTTAAGTTTAATTAAATAGTAATTTGTAATTCAAATCGGGCGGGATACATATTATCAAAATATCTGATTTCCTATTATTGGCCTTCAACAGTAGGAAATCAGATATTTTGATAATATAAATGAGAAGAAAAGAATAGATAGCAAGACTTCTTTTCTGCTACTATAAATAAATGACATTTCATTGGAGTTCATGCTCATGAAAGTTAAATTTGAAATTAAATAATTCATAAGAAAGGTTAGTTGGGCAATACATATCCATTGAATATGAACAGATGAAATCTTCCCATTCTTTAATCCAGTCAATATGTAATAAGTCTTTCTAAGTGATAACAAAAGTTCAAGTCAGAAATTTTAACAGTAAAGAAATCTTTACGGATATCAAATGTTGACCGAAACGGATATCAAATGTTGACCGAAAGCTTACTTTCAAAGTTGGCTTATTATCAGCATCACCACCAGCTGTTGGCTCACAGATAATCGTCGTCTTATCGCCTAAATGAAACTTGACAATATTACAATACAAAGTTTTTATCACTTATAATACAGTATAATGACAACAAAGAAATTTTCTTCTGGAGACAATAAATTGACCAATTGCATTCTAGCAAATTTGCATAAAAACACAACTCAAGATTATGATTTGAAGTAATTTACAGTAATGTGTTAAAAATTCAGTTATTTCAAAAGAAAATAAATGAACAACCTGACGGAAGTGTAATTGTTGGTCCATCAAATGTTAACGACGATCCATCATTAATTGGAGAGTTTGATCTGGGAGATACTGGAAATGTCATAGTTGGCGGTGATAAATGTACTGTAAATAATATTTGCATAAAATGATAATATTTTTTAATTCATTAGCTCTTTTATCAATTAAAATTGTTATTAAATGATTAAATTTTGAAAATGCTTCATCTCATTTTAAAAAGAAATAAATAAAAATTAGGATATCATAAATTGCAATAAAGTATAAAATAATAATCATTAATAATCTATGTTTGTTATTAGAAAATTGAAAGAGTTAGTTATAAAAGATAGCATATTTTATTACTGATAAATAATCATTTACTATCAGCAAACTTAATTATCATTCTAGCTATAAAATCTTATCGAATTAAAAACTTCTTGTTTTTTTTGCAAAAATTTATGTTGAATGTTCGAATTAATTAAATGATAAATTTGAAAAAGAAAAGCTTACAGGTAACAGAATTGATTGAATCACTACGATGCATATCATCATATATATCCTTACTGATCATTTTGATTTGTTCTGCAAAAGTAATACATAAAAGTTCAAACCTATTTTTTCTGCTACATTGGGAAGAATTTTCTTAAGATTAAAAGATAGTGAAAGACATTTTATGATTGGAAAAATTTAGGCCCCTCTCTAGCTAAATCATTCATAGGCTTAATAAGTTAATGTTTATCATATAGAAGGAAAACAAAAAACTAAGAAAATCCAAATATTAATAATAATTATTATTAATAATGACAATAAGTAATATTAATAAATAATAATAGATAATGAATAATAATAACAAATAATTACAATGAATAATTAATAATAAATAATGATAGATAATAACAATAAATAATGATAATACAAATATCATAAATGGCTTGTTCTTTTTCAACATGAAATAGAGTATTAATTTTCGAATCACTCAAATTTATCATTAAATTTATTAGGTCAATGGAATGTAGTAAAATTAAGTATAGCTGCTAGTGTAAGCTAAACCAAGTGGAATGTTTAACTCAGAATAACTTGACAGACTTGCACTTCATTTTCAAACTTGTCAAAATTGTTGCAAAACTATGAGTTGCTGAAGTTGTTTTTTTGCTTGAAGCTTAAAAATGCATATTTCATATGTGTAAATATAGCGAATTCCAATTTATGATGCTAAATTGTTTGATAATTCTTAGCTCAATTGATTTAAAATTAAAGAATTAAATTATGGCCAAGCCTCTCACATTAATTATTAATGATCATATCAAATAAGAAAAGGAATTTATTTTATCAACCATTCATTATTTTAGAGAAATTAATTATAAGTAGTCAAGAATGTTACGGATTAAGTAATGTGTTACCATTTTAATTAAAATAAGCCAAGAAATCTTTTTTAAAATTCAATCTTGTCTATCGTTGATACTCTGCGATGGTTTATTGAAAGTCGAGATTTAGGTAAAAATTATCAGCTCATTATTGGAGAACAATATACACTTGTGAAAATTTGCTGAAAATGTTGAAAATGATAATGAGATAGTTCATTTAAACACTGTACCATTATCATCACAATAAAAGCCAAATGCAATAGGCCTGAAAATGCGAGCCATCTTCTAGCTATGCCACGAATTTTCTTCTTCATTCTATTCTTTTGCTTATTTTCTGATTACGACAAATAACACCACAACGAAAAATGAGATCGTATTAAATTATATTATCCCGTTTATTAATAACCGGAAAAAGAGAAGTGCTATTTATCGATTAGTACCCAAAGCTTTTCCTTCAATCTTAAGCTATCGTTACTCTAAAACTTTTATTATCTCATTTAATTCATTGTTTTATTTTAAAGCAAATGCTCTAAGAGATGACGATGGAATACTTTAATGATTGATGGATTGGATCGAATTGCATTAGATAACTAATAGTTGGCGCAAGATTAGAACTTCACTACTTTATAAAATTAAATGACGCAGGAAAAAAATCGAAGATAATAATTCAGATTTTCTTTTTCATTACAAAATTGGTGAATTAAATTCTCATCAGATTAACGTAATAATTTCTAATCTTTGCATAAGTTAATCATAGATAACACCAATTAAACTTATTACTGAGCAATTACCTTAATAAATTAACTAATATCATTTGGTCTTCGATGCATTGCCATTGCTTATCGAAACTTTGACGTATATCGGAATAATTATTTTAAATTCTCTCCCTCTCTCTCTATTCATTTCTCTAGACTAAATTCTCTCCATCAGCATTACTTGGAAATTTATAAGAGATATCAGCTTTTTTTTGATTGACTAACAAAGTTAGCATAATCATTCCTTTTACAGTCAACTCTGCAATCAACTCTTCGTCTGTCACGAAAAATTTATTTATTTATTTTAGGAAGCAAAAATAAAAAGTGAAATTGCCTTATTTAAATTGAAATAAATGAATTTCTATTACAATTACTCATTATTGTATAGAAAATTATTCTTTCTTTTCCAGCTAAGATAAATATTTCAAATAATTAAAAACTTTTAAATTCTTTTATTGTAAATCTTCCATTTTATTAAAGAAAGAATTCACAGAAATTCTCATTTCTTCTTAATAATCAATCTAAAATAAACAATAATAATAATATTAATAAGTAAAAAATTCTTACCTCAATAATTATCAAAAAATTAATGAAAAACAAAGAATTGTATGATAGTGACATTCTATGAAACCACATATTGTATATCATTTAAGATATTTAATCTATTGCTTATATTTCTCGTATATAAGAGATAAATGGTCGTTTCATCATTTTTCGACGATAATCAACGGGGCGCATAGATTGTCTTCTTCTATTCGTTGTCATGGGTAACCGAAATCTTCTAAAAGCTAAAAGTAGATACTGGGATCTTTTCTTTCCCATCTATAATTTTTCACTATCTTTTTCGCTTCTTTCAACAAAATCACTGTTTAATATCCTCGCTTTTTACTTTATTGTATATGTGAATAAAAATGAAAATTTGGTATTGTCTTTCTGCATTTTATCAAATTAATTAAATTATGAGTTTATATTTCATTTTTGTAACTTTCATATCATTATGCTAATTACTGATAAGTTATCTGAAAGAAAAAATAGATATCTCTAAGATATCTCTTCAATTTTATGAGATCAATTGCTAAGTTTACCAATAAAAATAAACACCGGGGAAAAAGAATTATTTATGTGATCTGTTCGATTGTGATATATGTGTATCGCTTTCATTAACTGTATCAATTTCACACATATCATCAATAATTAAGTTGAAAAAAAAAAGAAGCAAATTTCAATACTTTAATTTCACTTCTACAAAAAATTCATTTTAAAACTTTAAAATTTGTCATCAACAGAATATTTCAGATGCAGTAATTCTCATATACGCAATGCAAGCAAATGAAGTTTTAAAAAAAAGGTGTAAAAGAAATTAGAAATCATTGATTATCGTATCGGTGCCAAAAACTCTCAGCTTATGGTTCTTTTTTTAGGAGTGGGAGGAATGAAAGAATGTGGGGGAGGAAAGAAAAGAATTGAAAAACTAATGAAGAATGTGAGAAGCAATTCATACGGCGATGAATACGTTCAGGTAATAACAATTAATCAATAACCAACCACCAACACTCTTCTCTATCTGCAGTAAAAAAATCATATTTAATTAAGTTAACCAAAACTAAAACTAACAAATAAAAGGTGTAAAAAAAATTGCAAAACTTTCTGATATTTATAGAAAAGCAAACGAATGTGTAATCACCGAGACATATATATACATACATCTATCTAATGATATGATAAATGATCAGTAAGTTAGTAATAGACAGAAGTTTAGCACTGATAAGATGGCAGAATATTGAAGTACATTTAAATATGCTGGAAATTGCGCAAATATTTTCAATTTTCTCGTGAATTTTTCATAAAAGTTCCATTGAAAAATGAATTTTCCCATAATCCTTAATTCATTTTTTTGAATAATGAAAAAATATATATAACTGAAATGTAGCACAATGTTGAATTATGATGTTATGAGCAAAAAAAGGGGATTGGGATTATCGAAAATAATGAATGAATAAATCATCCATCATTTGAGCATTCTCGGGAATAATATGTAAAGAGTTGAGTAAGCGGCAAGATCAATAAAAGTTGCAAAAACAATATCTATGAAGATTGCGGGGGTGGCATCATAGAAGTTGGAGAAATGCTGGTGATATGTGCGTGTATGTGTGGTGTGTATGTGTGTGTGTGTGTATGTGTGTGTGGGAAGAGAGGGAGGTAAGAGAGGAGTCCAAAGTCAGTTGGAAAGATGGAGATGGATGAATGGATTGCTCAAATAGCCATTGTGAAGGGAGAATTGAACAGCAGAATGGTGTGGGAGGATGAAGTTTTTTTTGGTTAAGATGAGAAGAGACAAAAACGAACTTCTCACTTTTCATCCCTTACTTCTATCTCCATCCGATACGCTCTCATTCACGAATCGATTATTTGGGTAAATAAAAATTTATGCCATTGGATTGCATCGAACTACAACACCACACTATACTACACCACACTACACTACACTACACTGCATTAATACATGTAAGATCGTTATGGTAGAAAAATGAGCATTAATAGCATTTTTTAATTTATATGATGCCAGTAAGGCTATAAAGCTTTTCTTCATGACACATCCATTCTTAGATGCATACCTCTTATAAAATATAGATGAGAGAGAGAGAGAGAGAGAGAAAGAGATGAAGAGAAATGAAATGATATTATTAGGATTAGATTTAACTAAGCATTTCACTACTCATATGTTTCATTTTCATTATGTTGTTAAATGAGGAAGAAAAGATAGGAATAATACAATGTAAGATAATGAAATAAGTAAGATATTATTATCGGGGAAGATTTCGTGTTTAATTTCTTGACGTCATTTTACAACAATGAAATTGACCCTATCTTAGAGGTTATTGAAGCTTTCTGGAAATGAATCATATTGGATAAAGTAAATGGTGAATGAGAAAAAAAGAAAAGATATCAATTATCAAATGATATTTCAAAAAAAATGATAGCAATATACGAAATGATACATCAAAAAGATACTAAATAAAACTAATTTATATGAGTAAATTGAAAATCTATCTCTGATTCCTTTGTTATGTGATATGATATTTAATAATGTTATATCGTTTTCACTTATCGTTATATAATTGGATACTGTGGTAAAAGCAACATATAAGGAATACAACCAAGTAAAATGTTATACAATAGAAAATTACATAAATACTTCTCAAATGATTACTAAATAAAACCTATCACTCTTAACATATTCTTTGCATGACTGTATATTAGTTCTCGTCGAAACGTCTAACATCTATGACCCTTCAACCGGATGAATCGAACTGCTACAATTCCAAATTTATAAGTTAAAAATTTATTAAATAAGAATCAATGTAGAAATGACAAAGAAAAAAAACTTGTCAACTTTATGTACAAAATGCTTTAATGCACAAGTTACAAGAAGCTAAGCGTGTATTCTCAGTAATAGTATCACAGATTATCAATAAATGGGTCTTGTTTTTATTAAACTATTTGACTAGATATAGGAAAGACTAGAAACATTATGGAGTCTTGTTTTAAAAATTTGATATTATGAATAACTTAAAATATTTTTAGCTTAAAAACGATATTTCATTTCAACCAGAAATATGCAAAATACATACTCTGATTAAAATGAAAAAAAAAAATGATTTTGAACAGTACAGAAGCTGCCTTTTGAAACAAGAATCAAGAGAATCTGGGTACAGTGCTATAAGTTAACGTTGATAATAGATTCATCGCAACTCAAATGACTGGATGCTAATTCAAATTGGAAATCAGAAATTTTTGAGGCAGCATTCATAGCATTTCGCTCCTCATCTGATAAATCGTCGTTTAGCTTATACAAAGCGTACAGAACTTCTAATTTTCTTGTTTTAAATGTTTCGTCTGATATCTTTCGTAAGCGATGTTCGGTTTCTATCTAAAATTGGATAGTTATGTAAATGTATGCATATTCCATCAATAAACTCAGCAATCTCTGAAACACTCCGATCTCAGTATTCTAAACTGGATAATAATGCATATGCATCCATATCATCTCGATAAATCATTTTCCAAACAGTTTATTTTTATTCTTAAGATCCTAAACTGCATAATCATACACATATATCCATATCACATCATTAAATAATCTCTCGAACTCTTTATCCTCAATGTCCTATGATATCCTTCCTTTCTACTCTCTATTACCGTGATAAAAGGAATCTTCTCGTTTACCAAAAAATTAACCTTTATTAGTTTCTGTCGAAGTAAGGCGGGTTCTTTTTTGGCAAAAATTGCTGCAATTTTCGGCGTTTTGAATGCCTCACTTATTGCATTTTGGATTGCCTAAACAAATGAAGAAAGAAAAGGAAAAAATAATAAAACCAAATAAATGCAGGAATAATTTTGTAATAATTCTGACAAACACTACACTTATACTGCATTTACGATGGATTGGTTTTTATGCTTAACGAAATTGCAGTAGTCGCAATAAAGACTTCACTTTTCAAATTACCATTTTTGTAGCAGTCAGCTCATCAGTTAACGAAACATCACCACATTTCATACGATCCAATGTCCGCTCTAGTTCCTGAAAAATAATTTATCAAGTCGAAATTTCCGAATAACTCTTACGTATATTTCAACTAAAATAAAAAACTACAGGAAATAAAAATTCCTTAAAAAGCACGAAAGTGTGTAGGCGTTAAGCTCATCAAATATCAGGAACATAAAGGCCTATAACCTTCAACTGCTCCACTGTATCATTCTTCATTTCCACGTACTCATCATTATCCAGCGAATCTCTAAAAACAGCATCTCATAACTGATATTAGCATGTACCTCCGAAATGTAACTTCTATAAAGTGATAGTAAAAGTTCATGAAGAGATAAAACTGATTATATCATATAAACAATCAAAATATGGTTTAAGATTTGCGAATATTAAATGGAGTTAGAGACTTCGAACTAAGTACGGTTTAAAAACAATAATTGAGATAAAAATTCCTCCATATCTTTTTGTCTTTCTTGATAGCACAATTTGCGGATCATATCTATGTCTGCAACATGCAATACAGTTGAAAATCTACCTTTCTTGTTCAATTTCAGTCAGCTGTAGCATAAGACGGTCTAGCTGACTTCGTATATTCGATACCAACTTTGCATCATCATTATCCATTCAATCCTGTAATTCCATTTTAATTTAATGGGACGTACCAAAACATAACCATAATAACGATAAAATAAGGAAAATTACTTCTTCAAATTCCCAATTAATTAAATTCCTCACCTTGATACTTGGCAAGTATCATAAATAAAAATACATATTTATAAGTATTATTATATATAATAATAATAATAACAATACTATCACTTCCTGAATTCCGAACTGAATTTCACTAAGCAACAAGATAGTAAAGCAACACCATCCATCATCTACTGTATCTGAGATAGTTTGAATCATTCGATTCATTTAATATACTATTATTATTTATTGTTTGATTAAATAAGTGAGATTTAATGAATCATTTAATGAATCTAATTATTATCCGATTTGTCATGCTAAACAATTACTCTTCGAATCCGATGCAAGGCACAAAAAAAAATTGAAACTGATTCACTTCCTCAGGAAGTTCATCCACTCCCAATTCCAGACTGGACCTTTGCCTTCTCAGCAAACATACTCTATAATAAGTCCCCCTTCCCCAGACATAATCCGCAGGCCCACCGATGGTCACTATTGCATTAATCTTCCATAAAAATGAGTATTCAGCGGTTCGGTCACATTAGACATTTTCAATTATTGGTTGACGTAACAGACGGAGTTTATATGCACCACTTGGCTTAGAGGACATTATTGGACAGTGCTCGGGAGATCATGTTACTAGAATTTGTTAAATTAACTGTGATTTGTGAATGTATGGAGCCTTATGTCAATTTATTGATATTTGTTGGACAATGCTGCATGTAGTAGTCATTGGTCCATGCTATAGTCATTGGTCTGTAGTAGTCATCGGTTAAAAGACCAACTGGATTTTAACGAATACAAAGGAAGAAGTGTACATCATAGTGTTGTATTCTTACTTTTTACTACGCATCATTTGCGTTGGAGATAGCATTTAAAAAGATAGACGCGGGATAGCCGATGAATATTTGTAGTAATGAGGATTACAAAACTGATGTCCGAAACATGTAATATAAACGTATAGATCCTATATTTAATCGTAGTATTGGACACTTTTTTCAAAATATCAAATTGTTGGTCGTACAGCAGATAATATTGCCTTATAATTTATTTATGGTTCAAAATTTCTTTTTTTCTGTGCCTCAACTGAAAATTTTAACGTGGACTACAGTACGAAACACACTAGGCAACAATTACAATTATGATAAATGAGGAAAGAAAACTTAAAGGTTTTTTTTTCACTAACGGCAATGGCGCATTTTTGTTCAGTGTGGACAAAATCGAGTCTGGTGCTCTTTGTCCATCCCGAAATTGATCAAAAATTTTCGGGCGAAAATATAAGACAACGGCTATATTCTATCTCATCACTTTCTTTTATTTCGAAGGAATAATTAGAGCAATCGATTTTATTAGAATGGTTCTTTTTTAGCACATGTTTTATGTTGTTTAATTTCCAGGCGCACAGTATGAATAGGTCGGAAAAATATACTTGCGACACGTCGCCTAGTACTTATACGAAAAGTTCTTACGTTACTCCTGTGGATGCATTACATCTTAGTCAACAGTGGAAGGTAAGGTTGAAAATATTTCGTTCAACCAATGGAAGTAGGAAAGGGACATTGGTCAATTGTGAGCAAAATAAAGGATATGATGATAGGGAGGTTAGATGGTTTGGAAGCGGAATCGGAGGGAAGTGTGAAGTAACAACTAATGAAAAATCTGACAATCGATGCCACTGCGTGATCAACGTGCGGCAAAGAAATCAGGCTTTGTAAAATTTAGTTACTAATTAGTACTAAGAACAGTTCTGGAAAAATGCTGAGCTCTATTTCGGAGCATTAAACATAAGATCGAGCAAGGTTTTTTATTCGGTTAGAATCGGGATGAATATGATGAGTTTGACAGCAGGCATGAATCAAGGTTGACATAGTAGTAACTCATATTTTCTGCACTTTGAGAGTTGTCAACTAGAGAGCAAGAAACCTTACTATTTAGTTTGCATGAGACTAAAGATGGTAATGTTCTTTGATTATTTGCTATGATGCTATTTAATGAGAAAGGTCAGCATTAGTTCGCTAGAGAATTATGTACTGATTTTAACAGCGTCTGATAGAACGCTCTGCAGATCGATTTAAAACAAAATAGTAATAATTTTATTAGGCATTCAATAAAATCAAATAGAACAGCGATTTGCTCAGGCCACAACATCTTTTTTTTTTTGCTTAGCAAATTGCAAGCAAAAATTTGCGTCGTCAAGATGAGTCTTTATTGAATGATTGATGGAATTTTGGATGATACTGAGCCTGTTATCTGAAGAGATCAATTTCACGGAGAGCCGCTTTTTTACGGCTATCGGCAAATAATAGAGTATACCTGCTTCTATATCGTTGTTGGAAAGCATTTATAGTAGTTGAAGGAAACTTCGTTTTCTGCATCAAACTGTGAATATATTATATGTGCGTATAAAGTGAAATTGTCATGAATCAAGCTAATGAAAAAGTAATATTGAAGAGTTCAGGAAATTCTAAGAAGCTGAGTCGTACGATATTAAAATTGAATAAATTGATTTAAATGATTGCAGTTCTTGTAACTCTTAATTTATGGAAATTTTTTAGTTAAGCATGTACTTTTGGGTGAAAAAATGGTTCATGTAAGGAGATCGGAAAAAGATATTATCTTCTTTCTTCAATAATAGCAATTTAATGAATTCCGTAGAATTAGTTCGAAGCGCTAATAAGTCTTTAATTCTGCAATGTAGATTCTTATAGATCGAGAATTTCACAACTCTCGTGAAACTTGCTCTACCAGGGAATTGCTTACGAACAGGTTTGTTCCGCCATCCGCAACTTCCAGAAGCTTTCTGGCAACTATGTCTATATCCGGGAGGAAAACGAGCTGAAAATGCAAATAACGTTTCGTTATTCTTGAAAATGTCTTCCACATCACCAACCAAAGAGGTACGTATTGTTTTCAGATTGTTAAACAATATTTATAAATTACACGCAGAAATTGCATGTTTACCATTTTATTATTTCAACCACCATTTTTTCATTTTCATTGCATTTCAGGAAAAAAAATAGCTTGCTTTCAATGTTGTATTTTGTTCAGGTACGTATTAAAGTGGAATATCGGTTTCATTTTTTAAACGACAAAGGAGTAGCTCTGTTCAGCAATGTTAACGTTGGTGAATTCCACGCTAAGCCTCCGAAAGGTGGACATTCCTGGGGTTTACGCAATATCCCCAAACAGAAGGTTATGAACTATTATTCGTAATTAATCAATAAATAGTTTGTGTAAATTGATTTTATTTTCAAAGAAGTATCATTCGGTTCATGAATACAGTTTATGAGATCTGCAAGGAAAGAAGAAGGCTTTAATCCATTCTGCATTTGTACGGTCTATTTTGGAACACGTTTTGAAACAGTAGAAAATTTTTTTACTTTTTATATGTTGAGATAAGCCACTCTGAAGGGGAATTACCGATAAAAGAACTGAATCTTTTAAATAGTGTTTTATATATTTGGGAATCGAATGTCGTTCTTTCTTTTTCATCATGCAAGGCGAATGATAATGGATGACAGTAGGTAATTTCCGCGTGACAGAAAAGTAATTTTCGAGATGTTTAGATTCTGAATTGTGTGCGAGATGACGGTTCACTCGTTATATCATGCCATATTGAATTGTTGCCGGACATCAACCGCACTCAGTGTTACAATTCTTGGAAATTGCTTAACACAAATGCCCGAACGGTAGCTATCTATTTCATTTATGAATCATTCGTTTCTCGATTAAAATCCGTTTGTTAATTATTACTGATCTAGGTAAGTGGTGATTTTGTGAAGCGGCAGTTAGCAGCATTCGACAACGGTTTTATGGCTGACTGCGTTTTGGAATGTTCCGGAAAACAGATTCCTGTTAACAAATTTGTTTTATCAGCTCACTCAGAGGTAAGCCTCTCTTACATTGTCGAATTGTCGAAAAAGGTAAACCTCTTACCGCTAAAAATGGATTAAATCGTTTACCAAATATTAAATATGTTGATGGAATAAAGAGAAACGACGAAGAGATATCAAATATTTTCTAGAAAGGTAATATCATGTGTTACAGGTATTTAAAGCGATGTTTTCATATGATCAATTAATAGAAAGTACGGAGAAGAAAGTTGTTATTGAAGATGCTGAATATGAAGCTGTTAGGTATTCAATCATGTTTCATTTTCGTTATCTTGTAAAGTTAGTAGGAGATCATTTCTAATATATATGTATGCTTCATTTTTACCTATCGTTTTAATGATTTCTATATCCTACTTTTGATATTTCAACATTTTATAATATTCGAAGGTTTTTACTGGACTGCTTTCAAACATCTTACGAAAATTTTCAGGTGCATGCTGCGATATATGTACACGGGGCAAATGGAACTGGATACCGAAGTGGCAAATGTACTAATATTAGCAGAACGGTATCAAATTGATGATCTTAAACTGATTTGCGAACGAAAACTTTGCAATCAGATTGATAAAAATAACGTTGGGGAGATGCTATATTTGGCCGACCTCTACAATTGTAAAACACTTCGAAGAGCTGTAGTCGATTTGGTAAGTTTGTGGATGACTTTAGAACTCTTATTTTTCTTACATATGTATTTTGAGAACTTCCTACTTGATAAGCAGCTTTATTTAAGTGCTTGTTCCATTTTAATCTTTATTTTTGCATTCTTTTGTTTTAGAATATATAATCCACATCCACTTCTTATGCTCTGATCCATTGCTTCTTTACTTTTCTAATTGCTTGAAATTGTAGTCAGCTCCCAACTTCTTTCATTTTTTTTATTCCCAATTTTAATAAATTTGTTTTTGTGCTACGGATTTGCATTACTACCCACTATTCAAATTAAGTAGTTTACAGCTACGCACCAACCATTCTGTGTTTTCGTCACACGCTTGGCGATTACTGAAAGAGACGAATCTACATCTTGTCACAGAGGTGATGGAGAAGGCGATGTTTGGTGAGGAATCGCCGCCACTTAAGCGACAGCGTCATCAGAAAGTGCTCATTTCACAACCTTCGGATGATGAATCCATTTAAAAAGGCCCTCACGTGATCTTAAAGCCCTGTGAAAATTCTTAAATCAGCTTTTTGTACTGTCCGCGGTAAACACCATATTTGTTCCTATGTATCACATTGCTAATCCCCAACATTCGTCGAGTAGGCGTTTCTAACTCATAGTATTTAACATCTGACTATTCCGCACTTTTATTTCATTTCACGGATAACCTGATTTGTGGGGTTTTTCTCTTAGTTCTCGTTGTTCCTTTTTCCGGGCTATCTTGCACTAGTAAGACGAAAGCTGCACGAAACATCACTTAAAATACCACTCAACTCGGTTCGTATTTTTACAGCACCTAGTTGTGTCTCTGATTTTCTCTTATATCAGAAGAATGCTTAGAAATTAAGAACTTGTCGATTTCTGGTCAGCATACTTTTTTCGGGATGAATTTCTTTACACGTTTTATGGGTATTCCAGTTTTATTTCACTAATATTTACTGAACAAAATAAATATGAGTGAGAACTATTAAACACAAATATTTATAAAGTTATTTCCATACAAAGAAATATAAAGAAGCTTATTGAGATGTAGACCTCATCAGGTCAGAAATACAGAACTTGCAATTTTCATACAAAAAGTGGTAACAATAAACGAACGCAAGTTGTTTATCGCCTATCGCCAGCTTCTAGATGAACCACCCGATCCGTAACCACCGCTTCCCGTATACCCGCCTCCTCCATACATATCTCCGGAACGACTACCATATCCACCAGAAGATGGAAAATCGTCAAACAAGCTTCGTGTTCGCCCAGCATATGGGTCGTCATTGTAGTAACCTTTACGACTTACTGGCTCGTCGTCCCACCGACCGTAAGATGATCGATATGGATGCGAACGATAGTCCCTCATTCCAGAGTAACGAACGGATTCCGATTCCTGCTTCTTTGGACGAGGTATACTAACATAAATACTCTTACCGGCACAAACGAAATCACGAATTTGACAAAGACGTTTAACCACCTTCGGATCATTTAGCGACACATAAGCGAAGCCACGGCATGGTTTAGGTAGGAACACTCGCTCAACCTGTAGCACAAAAGAGAAGAGGGAACATGTGGATTACATACAGCATTACTTAGTAAAGTCAAGAAAACGAGCATGATGCCTTGTTAAAAGCAAAATAAGGAATAGTTCGACCATGCTTTCTTAATTTTTCAGCCTGAATTCTCTTTTGCCAAGAACAATCTTTTACTTCCTCCACATTCCACGCTTGTCAGTAAAATTACAAAAATATGTTTCATCCATCATAAATATTTCCTAGCTGGTAATAATTGAAAATACCGAGAAAAAAGGAAATAGGAGAGACCTTATATTTGTGGGCACTTTAATCAAAATACGACTTTATATTTGAGAAGAGACCTTATATTTGTGGACACTTTAATCAAAATACCTTGGCAAGTGGTGATATTTTCTTTGCTTCTTCATCAAATAATTTATGAAGATCTGCTTCTGTAATTTCAGCATACACCCGGCCGACATAGATTTTGGTTGTGATTCGGTCATCCTGGTCTCCGCTATCCTGTCCATGATCGGGATATTTTACCTATAAGACTCCTCATGTCTATATAGAAGCACAGCAAAAAAAATCAACACAATTACCACTAACTTGAGCCATGCGACCGTCAATGTAGAAATCGCCTTCTTTTAACACTTTTTCTTGATCCTCCAGGGTTTTCATCTTGATAAAACCATAGCCTCTAGGAAGACCTGTTCTGTAATCCTTCTTCACCTGAAAAAAAGCCTTACCATTACTATTATAGCAACATATCTCCACAACCATCGATTTTTTGTTCAGAAAAGCCAATCTTTACCAAACTTTCGGATAAAAAGAAGTAACATAATCCAGAGCACCACACCACAAATAATAATGTCAGATTACGCCCACCTTCACTGACAGGCTACGGTATTATCCATCGACTTCCCTCCCTCCTCCACACTTATAATTAGCTGATGACGGCTAAGTTGTCACTGAACTATTGAAATAGAGTTCCGAAAGATATACAATAGAGCCAAAGAAAGAAAACGTCAAAATCAAATTATGAAAAAAAGAAGTAATCATTTGTGCTGATATGTAAATTCAAGAATAGAACCTCAGCGTATTGCACTTCACCGTATTGCTCGAAAAACTTTTTGAGCTGTTCCTCAGTAGTTTTGAATGATAGATTGCGGACGAATAGATCAACGGGCATGTTTAATCGATCAGTCTGTCCGCACTGTCCTTCCAGTCTGTCACTTGACGACAACGCTAAAACATCCAGCTGAACGTGTCAACAGCATAAATAAAGCGTCAATATGTGAGATAGGACAGAAATCGAACTGCCATTGATGCTACTACCACTTTACCAGGATATGTACTTCTGAATCCCAGAAAGGGGAAGAACAAACATCTACAAAACTTACAATCATCGATGATCGCTACATAGCGATGACCATGCCAACCTCCTTTTGGCGCCATCACACATTTTTTCCCTTCATCCACTCTGCAAAAAGGATAATGTAAACAACCTGATAACGGCTCCAGGTCAGTATGCTCGATCTTACAATTTCTGCATAACATTGGGAGAATATATCATGAAAACCAGAAAGTTACTTACGGGAGACTACGATATAAGCCTGTTGCGGGATTCTTATACTTCAATCCGACCGCCTTCGGAAAAGAATGCGATAACGTGAAACATGGCAAAGTACCGTCGGCTGCAAGAGGTAGCTCGAGCGGTGTACAATCTTCATCTTCCGTAGCACAAACGCATACATGATCCACTTCCTCACCATCTGCCGGAGCTTAATAATAAAAATAATCGTATACTTCCTCGCCTCGAACCTTACCATTTTCAACTCAGCTAACCTTTCATGCTCCATTCCAGAGATTCCTGCTTACTTTGCCTTGAGCTAGTAAAGCAGAGATAGAGCCTGATCCTCGATATCACAATTACCTGATATATCTTGATCATTCGCCTGTTCACCATCATCGTTCTCCTTTGTCTCCACACATTCCTCCCCCTCTTCTTCTTCTTCACGTGGTGGTACATCGGCGTCACTCATCTTTCAACCTAAAATTGACGCAAAAACACTCTCGACTCATCTCAGCATACGGTGGAATCCATACATTATAACAAGCTTAACTATCAGTGTAAAGTACAACTTTACATTCTCTTCTATAACTTTAATATTCTCAACTTTCATGGAGTTTAGTTTATTGTTCAAATAAAATAAGCAAAAGTAATTTGAAATAAATATAATCTGTAAACCATCATTCATAGTACCACTCAGCCATGGGTGCCACACCATTAGTACTCCCAACCCTCCAATAACCAAATGCACACAACTGCAATATAAATATGAACAAATAAGTTCTTCTTGTTCATATCTTGCAATTTTTGCGGCCCTTTATACGTTATGAAATATGAGAGGGTCATGCCAGTTGATGAATGAGCATGAAATAAGGCGGAATTTTCCGCAATATCGGTTTATTTGGTTGATGTTTTTTGTGAAGTTGTCCAAATAGAATAAGCTAACATCTTATGCTTCCTTCGCGAAAATGGTGATAGCATTGGTGCTAAGATGAGAATCTAAAGATCGAGAATGTAATGCTAAAATCAAAGTGTAAGCATTGTGGCATTACTGCTAAATACACAGCTGCGAGCAAATGTATTTGGAAAAGTATGTTATGATGAAAGGAGGCATTTTCAATTCGTATTTTCTCAAAGAGAGAGAGAGAGAAAAAATCATATCCGAACATCGATCTCACAGTATCCGTTGTATATTACTGCCATCGCATTATTACTTGAATATTTTCCAGTTGGGAACATAATGCAATATAGGTAACACAAAACAATTCATTAGTAATTCAATTCTTAGCTTTGTGAATAGTTACCTGACAATAATTCATTGGTAACTGGAAGACAACAAAAATCATTGTGTCGAAATTCTGGAAGGGCAGTCTGCCGTCTAACGTCTTAGACTTAATTTTATGCTAAACATGAGCTTCGTAGTAATATAACATTGAAGCCTAGAATGTTTCGCTTTTATTCAACGACAACATCGATGAAATGGAGGTAATTAGTCAAAAGTTTCAACGGTTTCCAATAAATATGCATGGAAGGTAATCTTGTAAACTCGGTTTTCGATAAATTGACCTTATTTGCGTTAATTATACAAAAATTTCGATTGACTTAACTTGGATCAGTTGAACTAAATCTAAATTGACTTCACTTAAGCTATGTTAAATTAGATTAAATTTAACCGCACACTTGAATTTCAGAAGTTGAGACATACTGTTTCATTCCGTATGTGACAACGGATGATGATCGGTTGCGAGTTAGAAGGCGATGATCATTGATGGGTACTCGGTGCTCTTCCTTTTTACTCTTGGTGTGTTGGTATGTTCTCACTTCTTCATAATATCTCACTAAATCCGGTGAAAATAATATTCAATATTGTCATTTGCCCTCATTTTTGATAGTTTTTATAACCTTACTATTATTAGTTTAGCGTTATGATTATTTGTTTATTAAATTGCTGGGACATTTGTTAAATAGACTACTTAAGCAAATGCGTCCTGAATTACTTATGCACAATAATTCGATTTTCAAATCGAATTATTTGATTGCTGGATAGAGTTCTAAAGGATAAAAAATGTTTTTGCAATTGTCAAAATTGCTTATAGGTCACAATCATTTTGGCGATATTTGTACAACGGCAAATATTCCGGATGCGTAATAACAGCGTGCGGCGGGAAGCTAATATTATTGTTGGAGCGGGTTTATCAAAGGTACTCATCCATTCAAGCACGAATCCTCTGTCGGTAGTACAAGAAAGTAGCTGAAAGTGTAGAGTGTTTTATTCCCAATTATGTACGCTGGCAGTTGGACAGGTGTGGATTACTCAGGCACTTCTTTCATTACTCGGTTAATGAATCATAGAAGTTTAGAGAATAGCACGCGAATGGTCAAGTGGTGATAGATGAAGATCCATTTATTTTTTATAGTTCGAAAAACGTATTTCATTGCATTTGATTTGTATTTAGCGCAAAAAGGAGGAACTTGATCGAGGCATTGAAATTGTTCGACAGTTCCAACTTCTACGTGCTCCAAAGTTTACGGAAATTGGAACTATTGCTGAACGCAAGTTTTTTGCTGATCAATGATTTTAGCCCTTGGTACTAAATTCTCTAATAACGTGGGAGGTACCTTATCTGTCTCCTATTTTTTTGTAAATGTGTCCTTTCCCTTCTTATTTATCTGTCAGTAATGGACAATTCTTACTAGTAGTGGCAGAGCAATAAAACGTTTTACCGCTTCAAGTAAATTAGGCTAATTCTAGATGCCAGTGCACCATATATCAATCGAATGATTGCCATGGACGAATTACGAGAAATTGGTAACTTTATGATGTGATTAAAGCTACAATCTCTACATTTAGTATAAGTCCTACGTCAGTCTTGTCTAGTCAGCATACCTTGTCACTTACATATCACATATATCATCAGTAACAAAAATAATAGAAAAACAGCACTTTAAGCACTTTAAGTTTGTTTGTGCGCATAGAGGATCATTTACATTGGAGCTTCTTCAAGTAGAGAAAAATGTATTCACCTGCATGGAAAAAGCTTTATGATTTTTTGTGTAGAGTTTTTAAGTGTCGTATAGTGTTTTTATGTGCGTCGTTTATCACGTACTAAAAAAAATCGAAGTAGTTCTACTTGAAATGAGTATTTAATGTTCTGGATGATATATTCATAAGTGGCAATAAGATTACCTTATATATAACCCTATCTCTACTTATCTTATGTAACCATTGCCATCTAAAGGATGATGCAGCTTTGGTCAGATGTCTTCAACTGTTAAGATTCTAGAACGACAGTTAGAGTTCATAAACGGCGACCTTGGTCACATAGCAGGCGAATCGATGTATGCTTATTTGTCTCGAATCCGTCAAATAGCTCTACCTTCGCTATCCGAACACCTGTGTGAACGAATCGGTTTGTTGGCGGAACATTGCAGGTATCGACACCAGGTCAGGACATATTTTTGTCTTTCCACCCCTATGCAGTACTTCTCCGTATTTTATTGTTAGGATTATGTAATTGCTATCTTTCAGAAAGGTGTAGATATTCCGAAAGATATTTTTGGGCTTGCTTTAAGTAAAATATTTCAGCCCTTCGGTGAATCAGAGTTGACCGAAACTCGTGCACTAATCAAAGAAATTGTGAAAATGTAAGTTACAGTACCTTTTGGTGATGCTCATCGAGTGATTTATAAAAAACTCCATTTTCTGGATATTTTAGATTAAATAAGGAACAAGAACGCCTCTCTTCACTGCACATCAAAGAATCAACCGGCTCAGCGTTACAAGAAATTACTAAAAGGTACAATGTGAACTTTGTTGATTCTTCCTTCCTTGTTATTCACTGTTGTAACTCTTTCTACTAATTCCGGCTCATCCCATTCAGGTTAACAGCAGGAGAAAATAAAAAAGGAACCCACAAAAGGAACACAGCAGTGAATGCGATTCGAAATGCTCTATTGCCATCTGATAAGGTTCCTCAGTGAATATTCAGCAAGCTGTTTAACATAATTGAATTTGAATTTATCGTTGTTTCCCACTATCTCATACATTAAGCAGCTTTCAGAATGAGACGAGATTAGCAAGAGCAAGAGATGTTCACAGGAAACCACTGATAGCTGATGATAAAGAGGCGATTGATGACACACCCGCACTTCATGTCTTGGGTTCCCGTGTAACTGCTGCTGATACTCAAAATACACAACCCTCAGAGCGTATTCCGCTAATCGCATAAATTTCTACCTTTATTAACAATGGCGCACGATGAAAAAAGGAGGAGTAGGAAGGATAGTCGAAAACAACTGCGAAATATGAGGAGGCTTGGGGAAGATGCAGCATTTAAGGGGGATAAGAAATTACGATTAAATAGAGATATATCGCAGCAGTTTCTGTTTTATTTCTTTCTTCGCATGCCATTGTAAATATGAGTCGGAGGCTTTCTTCAAATTATAGAAGACGTTGTCTAGTTATTTTTGGAACCAGAAGTATTTATTGCATATTCTACAAGTGATGTTTGTTTTGCGGGTCTTCTCATTTTCCTCTTTTTTTAACATTTTAATAAAGAAGCATGGTAACAGTTCCAGAAATACTACAAAAAAACAGCGTGTGAAAGCGTAACCCAATCAAAGTGTTGATATGATAACTCATTAAAATGATCCTGATAAAGTGGATAACTTTAATTTAAGTCTTCTTCTTTCGAATTTCATAACTAATTATTAATTGATTTTAAAACGCTTACGGGAAATATTTGGGGAAATCTGATAGTCATCCCGGCTGGATCAATTAGTACCTTCTTTGTAGTCGCGTACCGCATTTAAGGAAATAAATGGTATCGTCAATTTACTAGTCGGGATAGGAGATAGCAGACTGTGATCAGATTGTCTTTCTTCTTTGCCTTCACCATGATATTACACTGCAAAAGCAAGTTAGCAGAGATTTTCTTATCGATTTCGCGTCTAGAAAACAAGAGCTATTCCCAAATACTATGTATCTTTCGTCAGCTACGAATAGGTATGGTATTGTATTCGGCACAAAACAAAGACAATATGACCTCTTTGGTTAATGTTGAATATGGTAAATGGGACTTACTCGTATCCATGCCATTTTTTTTTCCATACATTGCATGCCGTTTTTCCTTTCTCCATATCACGGCTCCCGGCCGATTTGTAAGAGGGAATATGCCTCATAGGCTTTCGAGGCTTGTGTTGATTAGGTAAACCTGTTCGCGGAATTGATATTGCAACAGAATCATCCGATATCCAAAATTTGTCGTTTTGCAGTGGCTCTGCAATTCTTATTTTAAAAAAGATGGCGCTTTAACATTGCTATATAAATAATTAGTAGAAAGACAGACCATAATCGTTCATCTGAAGTCGATCAACGATGGCAAAGGACATGCTGACATTACGTTCGAAGATGTAATCGAGCTCGAAATCGTCGTCATCCGTGCCGAAGGGATGCATCAGATCCTGCCCTACCTGAATTACAGATTATTACAGGTAGCCAAATTGAATATTTTATTGATGCCAAGAAATAATGGATTATTTTACAAAACCTGGGACGATTAATTACAAGGAAAAAATTCCAAATTTGAAATTAAAATTTTACCATTGTAAAGATACGTTAAATACTCGTTGTAAACAAGGCGTCTGTTAAACTGAAAGAAAAAAAAATATTTTCAGAAATGTGATATATCACTTACTTTGAACCAGCCAACGAAGAAAAGGAACTGAACGATTGTGAATATTGGGATTATGAGATCCATCTCATAACCCCTATATTTCTTCGATGGATCTAGATATTGTCTGCCTATGAGGCAAAAGCCAAAGTGTGTATATGTAGCTAGAGCTGCTACCTTCAAATATCAACATTTATTAATCTACTAGTCTTTTTTAAATATGAAACAAAAAATTTACCATTCTATCACCTTTTAAAAGATTTTAAATTCTACATCTATATTCACTTGGCATAAATATTTCTATTATTTCCAACTAAAAAAGTACCTGAGTATAAACTAATGGCACGCACACCCAATCATAAGAGAATAATTTGCGGAAAGCCGTGCGATAGGCCCTTAACTGCTGCATGAACTGATTCACGAGAGCTGGTGGAGGTGCGTTATCAGTGAATTCATCCATGACAATTTGCTGTATCCAATGAAGTGGTATCATCCACCGTACATTTTTAATTTCTCTCTGCAATACACTAAAGAGCTATAAGTACAGTGGTCTGTCTAAACAGTGGTAATTTTGGGTATACGAGTACCTACCTGAATATGTCCAAGCAGTCATATCATTATGTAGGAAAGATGACAGTAGATACCAACCGAGATTTCGTTAAGCAGTTTCAGTTCCGTATCGGTGAGAAGTCCACTCTCCACTAAATGTGATAGCGACGGGAAACGACGTCGAATTATACTAGATATTTCGCGACTAAAACATTAATGTGCTTGACTGATGGAATTCTAACAAAATATAGTGTCAAAAAGTAATACATAATATAAATACTAACTAGACCAGGGCTGCTGTCAGATTGGTATATCGAGCAATAGTATGCCTCCGCTGTTGACTCTTGATATCCTTACCCGGAATTATCGTACATAGCAGTGACAGTAGGTCTTCTGGCCAAGGTATGCACTCAAACTGTCGCCACCATCTACAAATGTACATACAGATCTTTAATAAAGATGGTTTTAGCTACGTTAAAAAATGTCATTTTTTTATTATCCTATTCCAGTAGTAAGTATGCCTAATCGATTAGAATGAGGAGAGCATTCATTCATGAAATAATGTACCTGACAACCACATTGGATACATAGAAGCCTAATAAGAATGTAAGAGGAATCAGCTTCGTGTACTGATCAAACACCATTGCAATTCTTTCAAATTCAAATCTGAATTAATAAAAGTTAGCAGAGTTATCAATGGATACGAGTAATTCCAGTACATATAGGATAAGCGTAATGAATTAATTACCTGTATTTCTCAGGATCCTCTTTATTTAATAATGGTAATAAGTGATTGTAAAAAAGTCGAACAATGTAGTAAAGAATGAGGAAGACAAACAACTCCCTCCAAACTGATCTCCATAGACTTCCTTTCCATCGAATCAAAAGGCGACAGAGATTACCCGTATATGATATTGTCATTGTCGTTGCGCTATGTTGAATGAGCGTAGTTTTATTTCGATCGATCTATAGATGGAAAAGATGTTTGTGTTTTGTTGTTGTGTTGTATCACAGCTGAATCACACAACAATTCCTACCCACAGAGATCGATCTATACATGGAAAGATGTTTTGTTGTGTTGTATCACAGCTGAATCATACAATTCCTACCAGAACCAGAAGGAAATTATCGATCAATGCTGAAATGGACAGTAATCTCTATTTAATGACATGTATCTATTTAATGATAATACTAAATAATAATAATAATAATAAACAATAATAATAATAATAATAATAAATAATAATAATAATAATAAATAATAATAATAATAAATAATAATAATAATAATAAATAATAATGATA